TGCAGGGGTTGATGAAACTGCGGGTGCTGAACCTGTCCTGCAATAGGCTGAATTCTCTCAGTCCCATCTGTCCACTCCCCCCCTCCCTCTCCATCCTGCATCTGTGCAACAATTCACTCCAGGCCGTGGACGGCGGCGGCCCGCAGCTCCTGCGTTACATCAGGAACCTGGACCTGTCCTATAACAACATCTCCAACGTCACTTCCTTTGCTGGCGCCGAGCTCCAGAACCTCAGCTACCTGCTGCTGAAGGGGAACCCCTTGGATGTCTTCCATCTTCTAAATGTGTCCAGCCTGCGGCCTCGCAGGCTGGACTACTCCGGCCTGCACTTAGGCAACGAAGGCGTGAGCAAGGTCTGCCAACGCTTGGGCAAGCACCAACTCAAGCACCTCCGGCTGCAGAGCAACAACATCCGGGAGCTGAGGAACGTGTCCCTCGCCCTGTGCCCGCCGATCCGGACTCTGGACCTCTCGTGGAACAAGCTCAGGTGGCTGGACTGCGTGGACAAGTGGCAGCACAAGCCTCTGGAGAGCCTGGTGGTGGAACATAACTTGCTGAACCGACTTAGCACCTGCCAAAGCTCCTCCTCTTTGAAGACGTTGCAGAATATCAGCTTCCGCTACAATCGCATCCTCTCAGTCAAATACTGGGCCTTCAGGTACGCCCCCAATCTGCGCATCCTCCACCTCAACATCAACACCATCGCCTACCTGGACAAACACGCCCTGAAGGGGTTGTACTACCTCACCGAGCTGCGGCTGGATAACAACCTGTTGACCGACCTCTACAAGTCCAGCTTCGCCGACTTGGTCAGGCTCCAGACCCTCAACCTCCGCAATAACCGCGTCTCCATCCTCTTCCCCTGGGTCTTCGGGAAACTCGGCCAGCTCCAGATCCTGGACCTGGGGGGCAACAACATCCGCAACTTGACCAATAAGTCATTCAGCGGGCTAAGCAGCCTCTCCAAACTCTACCTGGATGGCAACTGCATCAAGAAGATCAGCAGTGACATTTTCTACCCGGTGCAGGGCACGCTGGAGGTGCTGGATTTGACGGGCAACAAACTGCAATACATCACCAAGACGCAGCACAAGAGCCCACCCTTTAGGCACCTGCACAAACTCTATGATCTCAAGCTACAGGCTCAGCAGCCCTACGGCATGAAAATAATCCCTGCCAAGTTCTTCCAAGGCCTGGCCTCGCTGCGCTCCCTCTATCTGTCAGAGAACAAGCTGCTCTCCATCTCCCCAGATGCCTTTGACGACCTTGCTCAGCTGCAGTACTTGAGCTTGGCTGACAGCTGCAATGGCATGCAAGATCTGCCGTCTGGGATCTTCAAAAACCTCCGCCGCTTGCAGAAACTGAACCTGGAGAACGTGGGGCTCCACTCGCTGACGCTGGAGGTCTTCGGGAACCTCAGCAACTTGACCTCGCTGCTCCTGGCCAAGAACCAGCTGCAGACCGTCAATGTGAGCGTGGCCAACGCACTGGGCTTGCTCAGGTACCTGGACCTACGCAAATGCCCCCTGAGCTGCACCTGCGAGAACCTGTGGTTCCAGAACTGGCTGACCAACAGGTGGGTGCAGGTGGTGTATCTCTACAATTACTCCTGTGACTCCCGCCAGCAGCTGGGCTACGTGTACAGTTTCGACACACACGTCTGCTTCCTGGACGTGGGGCTGTACTTGTTCTCCGTCACCACCCCGGCGCTGCTGCTGCTCATGCTGCTCCCCCTGGTCTACCACCGGGCCTACTGGCGGCTCAAGTACCATTTCTACATCCTGCGCTCCTGGGTGAACGACCGCTGGAGAAGGCAGGATGGGGAGCACTTCCAGTACGATGCCTTCGTCTCCTACAACTCTGCCGACGAGGGGTGGGTGCTGGAGCAGCTGGTGCCGAGCCTGGAGAGCTGCAAGGGCTCCTTCCGCCTCTGCCTGCACCACCGGGACTTCGAGCTGGGGAAGAGCATTGTCGACAACATCGTGGATAGCATCTACCACAGCCGCAAGACCATCTGTGTCATCAGCCGTAGCTACCTGCAGAGCGAGTGGTGCTCTCTGGAGATCCAGCTGGCCAGCTACCGGCTCTTCGAGGAGCTCAAGGACGTCTTGGTGATGGTGCTCCTGGAGGCCATCCCCGACAGGGAGCTGTCCGCCTACCACCGCATGAGGAAGGTGATGCTCAAGAAGACCTACATCAGCTGGCCCCCGGAGCCTGCGGCCCAGAGGCTCTTCTGGACCAAGCTACGGAAGGCTCTGAAAGGCAGCTACACGGAGGAGGAGGAGGAGGAGGACTTGTATCCATTTGACGAGGAAGATAAGCCGCTCCTAGAGTCCACATCCCAGCTTGGCTAAGGAAATGGGAGTTTCCAGTGGTTCTATACCCCTGTCAATCCCCATCCCCTACAGCCCACTACTTCCTCTATCACCAGCAGCTTCCCCACCTCACAACCTCTAGCGCCCACGGCAAGGAGCCTGCCTGTTTCTGTCTCTGAGGCTCCGCCTGGTCCTGTCCCTTGGGAGTTTTGCCACTGGCTTCCCTGGGAGTAGGAGCCTCCAGCCCCCACCTGGCCTCGTGGTCGAATGAGCCCTGTGAGCGACAGAACTGGGCAACGGGACCCGAGCCCAGTTTGAATTCATCTCGGGGGACACTGGAAGCAACAGCACTAGAGGAACTTGTAGGTAAATTCTGAGCTGGGATGTGGCAGCTGCCCATTGGGGACAACCAGGACCTGCAGGGAGGAAGGGAACAGAATTCCCTCAGACAGCTGAATTATCTTCAGTGTGCTTCCCACAGGAACTAATTAACTTCTCCTCCCCCCACCCAGGAGCTGTCTATGTCCCTGTTCTATGGAGGTGACTTGAGGTCATGCAGCCAATCTGGGGCAGAGGACTCCTGGACCCTCCTGCTCTAACCCACTGGACCCCACTCCCCTCCCAGAGCCGGGAGAGAACCCAGGAGTCCTGGCTCCCAGCCCCCCCTGCTCTAACCAACCAGCCCCCACTCCCGTCCCAGAGCCGGGGAGAGAACCCAGGAGTCCTGGCTCCCAGACTCAGAACAACCTGTCTTCTGTTCCTTCCATCTGGGAATTCAGTCTCCCTCAGCCGGGCCCCTTAAGCTGCTGCTGCAGTCCTCACCCTGCCCTCGCACCTTGCAGGCCGGGGTGGGGGACGGACATGGACCCTGCAGAGGAGCTGCGTGGCTCGGGCTTGTCTCTCCCCACAGAAGCTGGTCCAATAAAAGAGATCCCCTCCCCCACCCTCTCTCTCTAATCTCCTGGGACCCACACGGCTGCTGCTGCAGGACATCCACTAATGCCGAGACAAAGTCCCCAGGAGGAGCAGGTGGGCCAGGGCCCAGGCAGCTTGTGGCCCCCGGCTGCGAGATCTGCTCTCTGCCTGGGCACCCAGAGGACACAGGCTGGAAAACCATGGCAGCTCTGCGAGAGGGGGCGAAGGGGGCTGGATCCATGGGGGGGGGGTCTAGGGGCTGGGGGGGACAAGGCAGAGCAGCAGAATTGAAAATTACAGTTCCCAGGGTCAGAGCAATCCTGACTCCCAGTTAATGCCCTCCGGGGGCAATGGGGCGGCGGGGGGAACAGCCCCCACGAAAGCCGTGAGCGCTCTGGCCCTGACTGGGGGGAAGCCCAGCGTGACGGCCTGGCCACGGGGACTCAGCGACCGAGGCTGTGTCCCGGGGCGTAACCGAGCAGTCAGCCTGGGGGGAGAGCTGTCGGTCTGTCTATCCCTCCGTCTCTCCAGCCAGCCAGCCCCGGCCATCTGGGTCCCTGGTTTAGTTTGTGGCCCTGGAGCGGGAGCAGAGTGGGATGCGCTCAGCCAGCCATCTCCCTGTGGGGGCAGGGGGACACGTCCTGCCGCCTACGGCACCAAAGCATCGGGGATGGAAATCCCACTGCCTGAGGCTTCTGCCGATCCTCGGCGGGGGGGGGGGGGGCATCTCGGGGACAGTTTTCTTAATGGCAATTCTCTGCGAGAGGGGCTCATGGAGGGGGAGTGACAGGGTCCATCCACGGTTCCTGGCCCCAGGCCTTTGCTCTGGCTCTGAAGAACAGTGCATGCGTGGCTGCCTTGGCCTCACAGAGCCTCTGGGAACGGCCCACGCTCCTGGGGGCAGTGATGCTAATCCAGAGGTGGGCAAACTATGGCCCACAGGCCACATCCGGCCCGTGGGACCCTCCCGCCCGGCCCCTGAGCTCCTGACCGGGGAGGCTAGCTCCCGGCCCCCTCCCCCGCTGTTCACCTCCCCCTCTGCCTCAGTTCACCCCGCTGCCGGCGCAATGCTCTGGGCAGTGGGGCTGCGAGCTCCTGGGGCAGCACAGCTGCAGAGCCGCGGCCTGACCCGGTCTCTGTGTTGCGTGGTGGTGTGGCTGGCTCCAGCCGGGCGGCACGGCTCTAGCGCCACCAACCACCGGTGCTCCAGGCAGCGCGGTAAGGGGGCAGGGAGTGTTGGATAGAGGGCAGGGGACTTTGGGGTGGTGGTCAGAGGGCGGGGGTGTGGATAGGGGTCAGGGCGGTCACATGGCGGGGAACAGGGAGGTTGAATGCGGGCAGGAGTCCGGGGGGGGGCAGTCAGGAATGAGAGGAGGGGTTGGATGGGGCAGCGGGGGGCTGTCAGGGGCAGGGGGTCTGGGGGCGGTCAGGGGACAGGGAGGGGTGGATGGGGCAAGGGTCCGGGGGGGGGCCGTCAGGGGACAGGAACAGGGGGGGTTGGATGGGGCAGGAGTCTTGGGGGGGGAGTCAGGGGGCGAGAAGCAGGGGGGTCGGCTAGGGAGTGGGGGCCAGGCCATGCCTGTCTGTTTGGGGGGGGCACAGCCTCCCCTAACCAGCCCTCCATACAATTTCGGAAACCCAATGTGGCCCTCAGGCCAGAAAGTTTGCCCGCCCCGTGCTAATCCCAAGCGGGCGGCTGGGAACGGGGCTGGCGAGAGGGGGAAGTGGCTGTGAATCCAAGGAAACCCCCACAGCGCCGTTCAGTGACAACTGGCCTTTATTGAGGAGCCTCTAAACATGGGCTCAGCTCTGGGGGCCCCTGCTGGGGAGGTGTCCTGGGGGACCCAAGGGGGCGGATCCCCTGGCCATGATACACGGGATCCCGGTACCGCGCTCCTGGAAAGGCAGCTGGGAGCCGGAGGGAGCAGCGAGCGCCCCAGTCCAGCCGGAGGTGCCAGGCTCTCTCAGTACAGCCTCATGCGGGGGAAGACCCAGGCCTCAGGGCTGCCCTCCTCCAGCCGGTATCCGTGCAAAGTGGGCGGCGGCGAGCGGCCATGCTCCAGCGCCTCCGAGGGGGGGAAGAAGGACATGGGCAACTGCTGGAGTGTGCATAGCTGCTGGGCCCCCACCAGGGGGAACCTGCCCTCCCACCCCCCAGCACGGGGGCAGCCTTCCCCCATGGCTTCCGGCAGATCCCAGGCTCTGGGGGTGGCGGCTCTGGAGTCCCATGGCTGGTAGCAGGCGGAGGCTCTCACTGGCTCCACGGATGCCGGCTTCTGGCAGTGGTCTCTGGGCTTCCCCAGCACCGACAGCAGCCCGTTGGCATGCCTGGGCTTCCGAGCCTCTCCGGGGGGCAGGAGCGGTTCCAGGTGAGGCCCCGGCCTGTGCTGCGAGCAGGCCTGCGGGAGGAGCGCTGGTTCTGAGCACAGCTCCCAGGAGACAGCCCTGTGCCCCGGACGAGGCCACGCCAGCGCTCGGGGGGCCAGGACCTCTGCTGCCTGGCTGGGCTGGTTCGGGCTCCAGATGCTTTTCAGGACATCAAAGGAGGTCTGTGTCTCCGGGGCGGCTCTCGCCATGGGCTGGGAAGCGTGTAGCTCTGGTGCGGGCCGCTTGCTCTGGGTCTGGGTCTGGGTCTGCAGCACCTGCCACAGCTCTGGGCTCAGCCAGTGGGCACAGGGATGCTGGGGGGGCTTAGCCAAGGGGCACTCCGCAGGGCTCCTGCTGTCCAGACCCAGACCCAAGGTCCGCACCGAATCCCCAGCTGCAAATGGCATCCAGTGTCCCTGACCGTGTCCCTCGGAGGCACGCGCCTTTCGGGCTGGCCTAAAGGCCATGCTGGCTCTCTCTAGCCTGGTCCTGGGTTCCCAGATGGCTTCCCAGGATCTCCCACAGCACTGAGCAGCTCTGGGCAGGGGGCCTGGCGCTTGGGGGGCGAAGGTGGCTATTGTGCATGCGTGTAGGGCAGAGCCGGACAGGAGCGCGTGGTGGGACGGAGCTGCTGTGGGGGGCTGGCCAAACAGCTCGCATGCGCCAAGGGATTCCAGGTCGTCCCTTCGGGTCGCTCTCCTCTCTCCCTGCATGGAAAGAGAAGGGGGCTGGCTTGTCCAGCAGGAGGAGGACGGCAGGCCAGCTAACAGGGCAAGTGCTGGGGGTGGCAGGGGCCATCTGCCGATTCCGCCCTTGTGTGGAGTGTGCTCCGGCGTGCCTGGCTCCGATGGGGCATGTGGGGCTGGGCTGGGGCGCTCCGCACCGGGGTGCTCTGCAATGGGACTGGCTTAGCGAGTCTGTACCGACTGCAGCCCAGCCCCGTGGCTCCTGAGTCACGGCCCACATATCCCTATGAGGCAAGGCCAGCTCTGCCTGACCAGACGTCTCCACCTCCCCATGGGCCGAGGACCTTCGCTCTCGTCCTGCGGTCTGTCCCTCACCAGTGCCGCATGCCCGCTGCCATGCACATGAGTCAGTCAGGCAAAGACACCCCCCTTGGAAAGTCACTGGGTCCTCTCCTTGTCCCCTGGAGTCCCACTGGAAATGGGTCTGGCAGGCCTAGTGACAGGCCTTTGGATTGACAACCCAGCAGGTGGTAGGGCCTGGGGTTGGCTGCCCCAGTGATGGAGGAAGGTGCCTTTATGGCCCTCCAGCCACTAGGTTCTGGGGTAGGGGGCAGGGGGCTTTCCAGGGCCCACAGGGCACTCACCGTTTTAATGACCGTGTGCACAGGGCTGGGGCTCCTGAAGGCCAGCACGTCCTGTCCCCTTCTCCTCTTCCCCGAAATGCCCTGTTCAGAGTTCCCGCTGCCACTTGATCCCGTATCCAACAGCAGCTCCTGCCCCCTGGCACCTGGGCTCCTGAGAGCTGAGGGCAGCAGAAAATTAGGAGGCTGGGCAAACGCAGGAATCAAACGCAGCGTGGGCCAGACGCCTCTTCAGAGTGACGGGGCAGAATACGAATCTGCCCCCCCTCCTCCGGCCCAGAACCGCAGGGGGCTAGTATAGGAGAGTCACTGCACCCGCCTCTGGGGGGGATGCACCAATCGCCCCCCCAACCCTGAACCGCAGAGTCACTGCACCCGCCTCTGGGGGGGATGCACCAATCGCCCCCCCCCCAGCCCTGAACCGCAGAGTCACTGCACCCGCCTCTGGGGGGGATGCACCAATCGCCCCCCCCCCAGCCCTGAACCGCAGAGTCACTGCACCCGCCTCTGGGGGGGACCTGGGATGCAAACTAGGGAAACTGCCACGGGGAGATGAGGAGGCAGAATGGAAGCCAGGGCTAGCACCCCAACTCCGGGGGACAGACCCCAGAGAACTTGAATTAAAGTACAGGGGCTGGGATGTGCATCTGAAAGACTTAGCGCCCCACTGGGTCCAGCACTGACAGTGAGAGGGGAGAGCGGCCCCATTGAACCCCCCACCCCGCTCTCTGCAGCACAGGCCCCGTAGGGCCCCACTGGGTCCAGCACTGACAGTGAGAGGGGAGAGCGGCCCCATTGAACCCCCCACCCCGCTCTCTGCAGCACAGGCTCCGTAGGGCCCCACTGGGGCCAGCACTGACAGTGAGAGGGGAGAGCGGCCCCTACTGAGCCCCTGCCCCACTCCCTGCAGCACAGGCCCCTAGCGCCCCACTGAGGCATTGGAGCGAGCACTCACTGCCAGGGGAGAGCGGCCCCTATTGAACCCCACACCCCGCTCCCTGGGACAAGCGGAAGTCTCCCCTCCAAGGACTAAGCGGGCCTGTCCCTGCCTAGCTTATGACCGCTGTAGTGATGGCATGAGTGTGCTGACCCCCGCCCCGCCGCACGCCCTTGGCCACAGGCCCTTACCTCCCTGGGCAGAGCCACCGCCCGGCTTGTTATGCACCATCAGGGCAGAGAGATCGGGCAGGGTTTGGTGCCGGTCCAGCAGGGTGCTGAGTATTGTCTGGCGCCTTTCGCTGATCAGGTTGCGTCCCGGGAATGTCGACGTCAGGTCGAGATGGGTTTGGAGTTCCTGGGCCAGCTCCCTCATGGCGGCGGTGACACCGCCTGGCTCGGCCCCACTCGGAGGGACGTTCTCCTTCTCGTCCCGGGGAGCTGGGACCTCGGCCTGGGACTCTCCTGTCTCCACCGCCGCGGTTTCAGAGTGACTTGGCGCAGCTGTAGGTTGGGGCCCTTCGCCCGCTGCGTGGGGTGCAGGTGCGCTGGTCCCATGCTGTGTGTCTGGCGTGCATGTCTGGCCAGGGGCGCAGGGGTCCCAAGCCTGGCTGATTGCGCCAGGGATCGCAGCACTCGTCTCAGTCTCCGTCTCTCGCTCGCTTCGGGGATCCAGCAGCCTCTCGATGTTGGCAGATTTCACCTCCCTGTTAAACATGCCCAGATGCTGGGTGAGCCTGTGCTGGGTTATGATGACCGGCACAGAGCCAGAGATCCTTCTGATGGCTGGTAGAGGGGTGGACTTGGCGTGCCCAGCACAGTGTGAGCTCCAGCCCGGGGCCGGCATCCTCTGAAGCCTCCTGCAGCCAGACCTCTGCTCCGCACCTCCGACCGCAGCGTTCCTGCCGAACTTGGCAGAGTTGCGCTCCCGTTTGGTTTTGCGGCGCTTGACTCGGCCGGGTCTCTGCCCGGCACCGTGGTGTCCCGGCTGCGATGCTGTCAGCTGGGGGGCAGAGGGGGCGAGGCCGGGGTCATTGCCTGCCCTTCTGCTGCTGCAGGGATTCATGCCGGCTGCTGCTCCTGCTGCAAGGAGCAACGTCAAAGAGCTTTCAATACCCCCCCTGCAGTGCCAGCCGCCCCAGCTCTGCCCCTGCCTGTTTCCCCAACGCCACGCAGCTAACGGGGAATGGAGCCACCGCGCCCTCGAGTGGCTGTTTGGGGGAATGCAAAGAGTGTCCAGCTCGGCGTCCCCCACGCCAGGCGCTGTACAAACACACCGCACAAAGCACCATGGGGACACGAGCTTGTTCATGGCTCCAGCCATCATCTATTCCCTCCCAGCCCCCAGGTCTTCTTCTCTTTAACTGCGTCCTTGGCTTTAGCATTGCTGGACGGGCATGGCTTCCACGCTGCTGGGTTTGCCTGGACGGGAACAGCCCGTCCTCATACCACCCTGCGGGGAAACCCCCGAGGGCTGAGGCAGGGGTGCAGGCCCCATGGCCTGTTCAGCCCTCAGCCTCTCTGCTGGTGAGGGGGCCAGGTAGCACCCCTGGGGAGATGTGAAGGAAAGGAGGCCTTCACCCAAGGGTGACAGGCCCTAGCCCGGCAGGAGCTTGTGCTGAGACCCCAGCAACTCGGTTCACAGTGTGTGGAGGGAGCTGCACTTAAAGTGGGGGTGAAGGGGCAGGAGGGAATGGGGGATCAGTGAGCTCCCTCCCCACTTCTCTGATCTGAATCCATGGTTGGGGGTCTAGGTCTGCGCCCAGATCCCCTATGTCAGTGGTTCCCAACCAGGGGTCCAGGGCCCTCAGGGGTCCACCAAGCATGGCCAGCATTAGACTCGCTAGGGCCCAGGGCAGAAAGCCAAAGTCCTGCCACATGGGACTGGAGCCTGGGGCACCGAGTCCCACTACCTGGGGCTGAAGCCAAAGCCTGAGCAACTTAGCTTGGCAGGGGCCCCTGTGGTGTGGGGCCCAGGGCAACTGCCCGGCTTGCTACCCCCTAACGCCGGCCCTGGCTTTTGGGCCGTGAAGTTTGTATAGCATGGGGGGGGGGCTCAGAAAGAAAAAGGTTGAGAACCCCGTCCTATGGGTTTCTTACCCAGCACCCTATTTTCAGGCCCCCTGGGATTCTCCCCTCAACCCCCTCTCCTCAATCCCACCCTAGAGACCCCCCCATCCCACTCCCTTCAATGCCCCCAGAGACCCCTCCCTCCAGGACCCTTCTCAATCCACCCAGAGACCCCCCCTCAATGCCCCTAGAGACCCCCCATCCCACTCCCTTCAATGCCCCCAGAGACCCCTCTCCCCAGGTCCCTTCTCAATCCACCCAGAGGACCCCCCCCTCAATGACCCCAGAGACCCCCCCCATCCCACTCCCTTCAATGCCCCCAGAGACCCCTCCCCCCAGGTCCCTTCTCAATCCACCCTATAGACCCCTCTCCTATACACCTCCCTTCAATCCCCCTAGAGACCCCTCCCCACAGACCCCCTCCCCCAATGCCCCTCCCACCTCCATGCCCCCTCCTCCAACTGCCCGAGCAGGGCTTCCCCCGCCCCTCGCGGAGTGGGCGTGGCTGACCGGCCCCTCGGGGCGGGAATGCCCCGCCCTTCTTGTCTAGGGGCGGGGCTGTTTCTTTCCCTCTCCTCTCTCCTCGCCTCGCGCCGCGGCCGTTAGCCGCCTTCTGCCGGGCGCGAGACCAGCGGCTCTCTTTCCCGCGCTGCCCGCTGATTGGCGGCTACCGTCCCTTCGCCCCACGCTGATTGGCCACAATGTACCAATGCCCCTCGATGATTAGCTAGAGGTTTTGGCGGGCTCTGGTAGACGAAGGCGAAGGGTTGTTGGGGTAGAGGCTGGTGCCGCCCAATTCTGACCAATCCAGTCAGTGTGGGGAGACCCCAGCGCGAGGGGAGAGACCCCAACCCGG